TGCTCAACACACACACACACACACACACACACACACACACACACTTACACTTCATTAAATGGTTAAGGAGCTGTGATGATATGGCCACACATGACAATGGCATTTATGCCCAGTGGGTAGAAGGTGATGGGGAGCTAGACTCTTGGCCAAAACTGATTCAGAGTTTCTTTTGAAACTTCATTTGTATGTTATTCTAGCACAAGGACTTTGTTTTTTTTTTTTTTTTTGTCATAATGTTTCTATTAAAACGTTGGCTTTTAAGTTGTCCTCTGTACTTTTTTTTTTTTTTACTGGTTTAAGAAATAAAGATGACTTATTTGTGTGTGTGCATGTGCATGTATGTGTGTACAGGTAAAGTGTTGATTCTCCACCTACATATTGAGGCTGATTCATCTAGTCTACATAGCCAACGGGAATCCCCTGTCTGTAATCCTTACAAACTGCTGGAATGGCAGGCAGGTCTGTACCCACCAGGAGTCTGTGTGAGTGCTGGGGCTCCAAACTCAGTCCTTCATGCTTGTGTGTCAAGTGCTTTTCCCACTGATCCATGCTCCCTGCCCTGCCTATTACTGTATTTATATGTATGGGTCTTTTGCGTAGATGTATGCCTGCACCAATCCTAAGAGTGTGATGGATCCCCAGGACTGGAGTTACAGTTGTGAGCTGATTTGTGGGTGCTGGAAATTGAACCTGGATCCTCTGAAAGATGCTGAGCCATCTCTCCACCCCTACCTCGCTCCCCACCCTTAGATGCAGGGTCCAGGCTGGCCTTGGACTCACTATGTAGCTGACAATGAGTGACCTTGAGTTCCTAATCATATTGCCATCTCTCCAATGCTGGGATTACAGGTGTGCATCACCATGCCAATTTAACATAGTGCTGGAGATGGAAACCCAGGCCTTGAGTGGCAATCTGCCCATAGAGCTAATTTCCATCCCCTTTATGTAGAGTCAAATCTATTAATATGTTGTTATACCAAATTTAGAGAATCAAGTTGGAAGTCTTTTCCTCTGCTTTTTTTAAAAAATGATCTGTTTATTTCATGTGCTTTGGTATTTTGCCTGCATGTATGTCTGCTAATGTCAGATCCCCGGAGGCAGAGATACAGGCAGATGAAAGCTGCCATGTGGATGCTGGGAATTGAACCCAGGTCCCATGGAAGAACAGCCAGTGCTCTTAACCGCTGAGCCATCTCTCCGCCCCTTCTTCTGCTTTCTATCTAAGAGAGTATTTTTAAAAATCATTGTAGAAAGTAAAATTTTAGGAAGGGTAAGAGTGTCATCATAGATGCCAATAGCTGTATTCCTTTCCCAATTCTCCAGAGTAACCGATACTCACCATTCCTAAAGCTCTTTGCTGCCGTGCTTTTAGATTTATTCTCTTCTAGATTTGTTTTGTTTCTGAGTGTTTGTTGCATTCATGTCTGTGCACCATGTGCCTGGAACTGGAGTTACAGATTCTTGTGAGCTTCCCTGTGGGAGCTTCAAATCAAAGCACCCTGTGTGTCCTCTGTGAAGGCAACAGGTATTCTTGACTGCTAACCCATCTCTCCAACCCTTTAGATTTAGTTAATTGATTTAATTTTCATTTTTCAAGATAGGGTCTTTCTTGTAACAGTATAACAGTCCTAGAACTTGCTTTATAGACCAAGCTGGCCTCAAACTCAGAGATCCACAGGCCACTGCTTCCTGAGTGCTGGGGGATTAAAGGCTTGTGTTTTTTTTTTCTTTTTATTATTCTCCCTCTTCTTGGATTTATTTTTAACATACAGAATGTTATGCTTTATTGTGTTTAAGATGTATTTATTATGTATACAGTGTTCTCCCTGCATGTATGCCTGCAGGCCAGGAGAGGGCACTAGATCTCATTACAGATGGCTGTGAGCCACCATGTGGCTCCTGGGAATTGAACTCAGAACCTCTGGAAGAGCAGCCAGTGCTCTTAACCTCTGAGCCACCTCTCCAGCCCCCAGAAAGTTTTTAAAATAATTGTACATTTGCTATTTGATACATGCATGCTTTGTTTAATGCTTAAATCAGGGCAAACATCTCAAATAGTTATCACTTCTTCATGGAGAAAATACTGAAGTTCTTTCTTCTAGCTTTTTGAAATCCACAGTATAGGAACTGGAGAGATGGCTCAGGGTTTAAGAGCACTAGCTGCTCTTCCAGAGGATCCGGGTTCAATTCCCAGAAACCACATGGCAATTCACAGTTGTCTGTAACTTCAGTTCCAGGAGATCTAACACCCTCATAGAGACATACACGCAGATAAAACGTAAGTGCTCATAAGGTAAACATCCACAGTACATCCGTGCCGTGTGTAATCACATGAGCTTATTCTAGCTGTAATTTAGTAGCCAGTGGCAACAGCCCACCTTTCTCTAGGGTAGTGGTTCTCAACCTTGCTAATGCTTTGGCCTTATAACGCAATTCCTCATGGTGTGGTGACCCCCCCATAGGATTATTTTCATTGCTACTTCATAACTATAATTTCGCTACTGTTAGGAATCACAATGTAAATATTTATAGAGATAGAAGTTTGCCAGAAGGGGTCATGACCTACAGAATGAGAGCCACTGCTCTAGATGTCCTCCTTCCTGTTCTCCCTAGCCTCTTAAAATCACCCTACTCCTGATTTCTAGGTGATTCACTTTTTTAGATTCCATAGGAGTGAGATCTTTTCTGTGCCTAGATTATTCACCAAATCTCGTTTCATCCATGTTGCCACAGATAACAGGAGTCTACCCATCTTTAATGGCTGAGTGGTATTTTCCATTGTGTATACGTACCAAATTTCATCTCATCAACTGGTGCACACTTAGGTTGTGCCCTTGGCCATGGTGATAGTGAATTACTAAACATGGGCATGCAGATGTCTTATAAATTAAGAAGAACTAGGAAGGCATGTTTTTAAAACTGCATACATGCATCTTGATGTATTAAAATTTTTAAGGTTCCTTGAAAATGTGTAGTTTTGTAGGGTTTTGTTTGTTTTATAGCCTGGGTTGGCCCACTCTAGTGAAAGCTGGCTTCACCCCTGATTCCTAGAATTACAGGTGAGTGCCACCATGCCCATCTCGATGTCTTAAATTTTAGCTTCATTACTACATATGAGATGATTTCAGTTACTGTACAATGGATTCCAACCACCTATGTGGCTGAGAGTGGGAGAGTCTCAATTGTAGTTATGGTGTTGACCCGTAGGTGTCACTGTTGTTCAGTGCCATGTTTGAGCAGGTGTGTTGAGCTCCCTGCCCCATTTTCATCAGTTTCCTTATCTTCCAGCACACTTCTGTTAGCCACACTGCTCACCTGAGCTCCCATGGGATAAGACCCAAAGGGAAACACAATGTTTGTAATTGTGGGTTCCTATCTTTTATGTTAAAAATATGATTATGGGGTCTGGATAGATGGCTCATCAGTTAAGAGCAC